ATGATTTAAAATCTGGCTGTTCAGACCAGGTCATAACTCCAGTTGTCTGCGCATGCACCTCTGCCACTAGCTTGCCACTATTACACATTACTAACTTTGTGTCTCCTTTCTCCCGTAGTGTGTCCTCTCTCTCTCTCCCTGTACCTTTCTGCAGGTTGCCCTGGCCCTGGAGCTCTATGTCTCTGACGAGCAGTCACCGGCCACATCGACCTGATCAGTGTTTGATTGTTGTGTCTTGTTGCTTTTCTTCTTTTGTCTCTCCTCTATCCACTCACCCCAACCGGTCGAGGCAGAAGGCCGCCCACCAAGAGCCGGGGTCTGTCGGAGGTTTCTTCCGTTAAAGGGAGTTTTTCCTCCCCACTGTCGCCAAGTGCTTGCTCAAGGGGGATTTGTTGGGTTTTCCCTATGTAATAATATTGATAACAGTAAGGTCTAGACCTTACTTTGTAAAGTGTCCTGAGATGACTTTTGTTGTGATTTGGCGCTATACAAATAAAATTTGATTTGATTCTAGAAATCTTATGGCATGTCTCCTCGCTCCTTCTGTGACTTGCAGGCTTTAACTGGGACCTATGCACCTACCTTCAGAAAGAACTACCCCCGACTCAGGACTTTTTTTGAGGGGTAAAAGTATGGCCCAGGAATTTAGACCCTAAATATAAATGAAAAAGAACCAAGTCCCACAAAACATTCCTGTTCCCCAGGGGAAATTGATTTTGTGCAAATAGGCCTACACAGTCCTTGGTTTTACCTGAATTTAGTAAAAGGACAAGCTACTACAGCCCTGTTACCACACAGAGTACAAATAAATGATTGATGATTTAGGTAACTAGTTTAAGTCATTTATCAAGTAAAAAAAAAAAAACTGTCAGTGCATAAAGATCCAACATTAAGCTTTGTTTGTTTGTTTGTAACCTTCAGTTTAAGATGGAACAAAATAAAATATGTAAAAAAAAAAAACAAACAAAAAAAAAAAACAACCCTTTAGCCTGAAACTTACATCATCCACACACAGTACATGCTGTACTAGCTGTGCATTATACATACATGTAGGACCTGGTAGTACGCGTTCTTCAAGTCCTCTGAGCCCAACATGGCGTCTTTGAGTTTAGGAGCAGGAACGTGGTCTTTACCAATGAACGACATCACCAGGATGTGTTTCTTCAACACCACCACCTCTGGACAGGGGATCTCTGCCTTCTTCATCCTGAACACACACAGGTTTCTCTGTTCATGTTGCCAACATGGTGGCATTATTACAGTAACTTGGATGCAAGAATAGAAGCAGCAGAAAAAGCAGCACAAGGGGTGTAGCAGAGGCACGAGGGTCAGAAGATGGAGATACAGTTTTCATCCATGACTAGTACATGGCAGGGGTAAAGACTAATGTCCCAAAACCACAACAATAAGCACCAGGTTGTAATGAACGGACCCTCTAAGGCAGGGGTGTCAAACTCAATCGCACAGCACGCTTTAGGTCACGGGCCAAACAGGGTAAAAATTTATTGAACAGACTAAAACTAAACGTTTTTTGAACATAAATATGAATCGAAACAGACAGGATACAATATTATTTCAAAATAAATAAACTTGAACTTAAAATCAGTAACCGTATTTTTTCTAAGGCTTACATTTGAAAACACCTCCTTTTTGTCTGGACACAAGACGTCGCACACTTTCATCATGCAGCTCTTCAGAAACTCTCCCTCGGTAAATGTCCGGGCTGATTTTCTCCTCTGTCGCAATAAAACTTGCTTTCACAGCAGCTTCACTGTGTGATTTCGCTTTGGTGAAAACGTCTGCTGTGATGTCAGATTCCTCTTCAACTCCTCTACCTTCTGTAGCTTCTGCTCTGCATTCACGTTTTTCAGCTTGTCCTGATGTTTTGTCTCGTAGTGCCGTCTTAGGTTATATTCCTAAATTCCAGCCACATTAGCTCCACAAATAAGACACACGGGTTTACCGACAATGTCAGTAAACATATACTCAGCCTCCCACCGGTTTAGAAAGGCTCTGTTTTCAGAATCAACTTTCCTCTTGGCCATTGTTAGGGGCTAGCTTTGACTTGAAATTAGGGTTGTATACATCAACAGACGTTTGATTGATCTGCCGTAATTGATGCGGGAATGATCGCAGGTAGCCTATCGTTCAGTAAGGCAGCTGTTGTGCTGCATTATGGGATTTGTAGTTTGTGTGTTATTGGCGCTTCATATCACCGGGCCATTAAAAAAAAAAAAAAAAAAGATATATAAAATGATCACATGGGCCAGATGTGGCCCGCGGGCCTTGAGTTTGACACATGTGATCTAAGGAGATGTGACTCCCAGCAGTAACAGCACTGGGACTAGCATGTACCTGGCCAGGTTGTGCATCTCCTTCTCAGCCCACAGTCTGATGATCTTGCGTGGATTCAGTTTACTGAAGCGCTCCTTGAAGCGATAGTCGTCTTTGATGTAGCGGTCTCTGTTCCTGAACTCGTTCAGCGTCGTCTTAAAAACCTTGAGGACCACTTCATCAGGAAAAGGCTGCTCCTCCAGGCTACACAAACACACACGACATTTCAACACATTGTGTTCCCACAAAGATTCTTCCTGAGCCCCATGACATCCTGCTGGCCCACCCGTCCCTCTGTGTCCTCCCTCACCTCCCTCCATTAGCATGGAAGACCACAGACTCCTTCCCTGTGCTGATGCAGCCATTGATGTTTTCCAGCAGCCCGGAGTTCACCATCTTGTACATCAGGAGTCGAGTACGGGGGTCCACTGCTTGTTCCTGAGGAGGAAGGAGGAGTTTGTTTCAGTGTGAACAGGAAGCAAGGACCTGGATGTGTCATGAACGCTACTGTGTGTGTCTGAACAACAACAGAAGTGCCTGCACCCCTGGTCAGTATCACAAGAAGGTCAAGTACTCAAAATTCCTGCTCCTTTAACACGATTTTATTTGTTTTCAGCCAAAGCTCAAGAAGAATGAAGCCCTCAGTTTCTTAGTCCATTGTGTGTCTGTACGTACAGCGGTTGAGTGCTCCTTCTTCTCATGTAGTTTAGCGCTACGCTTCTGCTCGGTGTAGCAGTGCTGCTTCAGAGAGTTAAAAACCTGATTGGACAACTTAAGGTCCATCCCCAGACCATCACCAACATGGACCTCTGGAGCAAACTGGAGGAGTAGAAGATGCACAACTTAAGCAGACGAGCAACACAAAGTGACTGGTGGCCTGGCACCTCACGTTGGGCTGGCACCGTGTGCACCTGAGGCTGTCTCACCTTGTCCATGCGGGCGGTGTTCTTGCGGCCGCAGTTCACCTCATCATGTTTGGTGGTGATGTTCTTGCCTTTCCCTGCAAAGCCTTTCCTGGGCGTGGTCTGAGGCTTTTCTGAACACACACACACACACCCAGAGGCAGAGTCTGTGTAATGACTAAATCGAAACAGTAACTGTAACAGCCACTTTATCCACAGTGAGATAACGGAGATAAAACCTGGCCACCAATGATCTAAACTCATTAAACCCATCACTACTAGCAACTCCCTGCAGCAGGTGTTAAAAACTCTGTTACCGGCTCTGTAGGGGTCATCTCTGGTGTCCTGCCAGTCCACTTCATCCTCCGAGCTGTCGCTGTCTTCATATGGGTGGACCTTCAGGTAGTTCTCAAAGGAGATGGACACTGTGCGCGCACACACACACACACACACACAAAACAACGGCACTTACTCTGAATCTCCCTATCTGGTTTGTTATACTGTCAAAGCAGCGAAACAACAATCAGCCTTAGAGAAACGCTTTTAACCACATCTGTCCTGCTGATCTTGCTCTACCTTTGCTGTCTCCGTTGAACTTCTTCTCTTCACGGCGGAGCTGATCATCATATTCACGGTCAAACTGCATCTGCAACATCTGGGCCAGCATCAGGTCACTGGCCGTATCGGGAACCTCATCCAGCGACAATGGATCTGCTCCAGGTCTGAGGGACGTGAATCAGACAGAAGAAAGTTAAAGGTAAACAAAGGAGCATCAGTGACACAACATAAACACATTCAGATTCACTGCCAAATCAACTCCCCATGTTGTGTATCCACACACACACACAGTGGTGATGCTGGCGAGGACTCACTCTGTGAGCGTAGGGAAGGCGTGGTTCTCTTCATCCAGCTGTCTGGCCAGCTGCTCACTCATCACGTCAGCCAGAGAGCAGGCTGGAGCTGCCGGGGCCACTGACCCCCAGGGACTCTGCAACACATGACTGTCGGCTTTAGCATCACACTTCTTTTGGATGTCGCCGCACTCTGACCAAGTAGCTCAATGATCAATAACGTGTAGCTCACATTGGCCTCCCACAACAGCCCTGGAGTAAATCAAAGGAAATCAACATGTAACACAAAACAACCAAACCAATTACCATATACAACCAAAAAAAAAAAAGAAATTTCTCTTGATAATGCTTAGTCATTATGACTGCTGACAGCACATGAAATTGAACCTGATTGATTAGTTAATTAAAACACACAGAAAATTAAAATTATATACATTATTATGTATGAACTTATGAAAATCAAACTAGCTTTATGAGCCTCTCATGTGTAATTAGGTCTCATTTGGTTCACGTCTGTGTTTCTTACTTTTTCACTATCAGTGCATTTCTTATTTTTAGTACTCCTTTTTTAACTAGTCTAATTGATTAGTTGATGAACTGAAGAAAATAACTTTTATGAAAAATTATAACCAGTTATTTTTATAAGCAAAAAAGTGAGGACTTTGGTTATTTTCTGTTTTATATCTTTGGAAAGGGAATGTCCTCAGACTCTGGAATGATAAGACAAAACAAGACATTTGAAGTTGTTATTCAGGACTGTGGAAAATCATAATGAGAGAAAATCATTAGTAGCAGCTCTACTTTATTTATTACATCTGCCACAGTACCTGTATCTTTGTAAATGTATACTGCTCTTCTTCAAACTAAATGATCTCTTCCATCAATTAAAAAAAGCCACACTGGTAAAGGTTTTATAAAACTTTTAATTAAAAATGAAGCCTAGTGATCACAGGGAAATACACTGGCTTCTTGATTTAAGACAATTCCAGGACAAGAAACGAGAAAATGAATGTGATTCTAAGACTAATTAGTTGTGAACATCAGGCAGCTGCTCTACAAACATTAAACCGCCTGTGGACTGATCAGTCAAGTGTACAGTGAAACTCAGTTGTAACTAAACCTAGCAAACCCCTGACAGGGTCACAGCAGGACAGGTACAGTACAAGACACCAAGACCTTTAGGATCTTACGAAACAAGTTCAGGCACCTCTAAGTCAACATGTCATTTTCCCCAGACCTACCAGTTTGTGATTATGATTATTCTTTAGATAACTATAAATTTAAATGTTCTCATGAACACATTAAACAGCATTATATTTGAATAATTATACAAATGAAAGTATGATTTACTGTAATATTTTGAGCATACTGCCCATAGTGTAGTGTTAAGTTTTAGTTGCTTTTTCTAAGTTCATGCAATAAAAGGTATGAGAGCATTAACAAGGGCAGAAAGGCTCCATTTCCTTCTTTTCCTTTCTAAAATCACCACAGCATGTCATCTACCCACAGCTGCAACCGGTCACGTGAACAGTGACGTGAGGTTATAAAAACCCCACTGAACGTGAGTCACCAATGAACAAGTTCAGACATGTCTGGTCTCTGCCTGTGCTCGGACTAAGCCCAACCCAGGATTTGACTGGCAAAAATATTTACAACTTCAATATCTGTTTAAAAGTTTTAATTAGGTCTCCATATATTAAAACCATATCTTCTAAATGTTATAGCCTATGTGAGAAGTGTTACTATTTAAAACTAAATCAAGTTGTTTGACAGTCGACAACCATACACACATATTTTAGTTTATAAACGATATTCAGAGCACTAATGACGTGTGGAGGCCAATTTAAGGCCGACATGTTACAGAAATAGCGATATCATCGTAATCTTCATTCAGTAACGTTAACAGGTAACCGGATACTAAGATATGGTTAGTGCTCAGTTTATTTCAGTGTGTGTCTTGTCCCATCGTGGTCCCACTGGGGAGAAGCAGTTACCGGGTTGACGCTGCCTGTCCACTCACAGCGAGCGAACGTGATCCTTTCAGGGACTAATAAAGGTTTTTCTAATCTAACTGTCGGTGAAGACATATTGGATGAACACTAGCATTAGCAACTAACACCAGCCGGCTACCATCTAACTTTCTGAAAGATAACTACATGTGTAAGGCACAACAGACTTAATTAAACAAAGCACTGTCTTACCTTTGGCGTTTCTGTTGTGACTCCCGATTGATCCATGATTTATGTAACGATTATCTATGGCTTTATTCGGCGAACAAATGGTGGCTAGCCGCTGTGCTAACGTTAGGAGGCGTCTGGGGCAGACTTGGCGTCAAAAAACTCCCGAAAATGAGACCGACAACAACGTACTGTGTTGTGACAAGCACAGAAAACTGTTGTATATACTTCAGTTAGTACACAAAAATCGAATCTACAATCAGAAACAAAGAGTGGATTTTTTTAAATAACTCAAAAGGTGGAAACAAAGTAAAGCTGCCTTCTCCGTGCTGTCTCTACACCGACTGTTGCCAACTCCTCAGTAAGGAAAGTAGCTATTGGCTGTCGCTAAATGACATCATCGCCTATTTTTGCATAATTGTTCATTCGCCAGTGATTGTAATGGACGCTGTAGGACAGAGGAATAACGTCGTGAGACGAGAACTGAGTAAAAAAAAAAACACCCTAGATATGTTTAGAACTACAAATGAACTTTCTTCTGTTGATGCTTGTTTTGTTTTTGTTTTGTCATTTAAATAAGCCATCACTTCTCAAAATAACTGACTTTAATGCTTTGTCTAGACCCACATTACATAAATCAATTTTGCCCTGTATTGTTAAATGTTAGAATATCAAATTTAATCAAAAAACTGTTATGCGGGGTGTAATTGCTAGCTCAACATCCATCCCCCCTCCTTTATCCGGGCTTGGGGCCAGCAAAAGAGACACTGGCAGAGTTACAACGTTAACAATCTAAATGGACCAAAAAGAGACAACAGAAAAAGCTGTCACTGGTGCTGTATTCCGGTTCTTGTACCATGCTAACTCTGAGAGACGAGGCAGTCCAAGTAACTTCAAAACAGTGCTGATGTATTCCATGAACACAGGTAAAAATTAACATTACACGCTCAGGTATCTTCCACCTCCAACATGCACGCAGGCAGCTGAAGGATGAAAGACCCTGAACCCAACAGGCCTGTACATTATATCGCTTTGGGCTAGCCCCATACTACACAGGAACGCCAAACCGTGACGTCTCCCGGTGCCAGCTTTGCAGCTGACCATAGCAGTAGTCAAAACATGAAGAAAATCAATGTGTGTGTGTCTGTTGATTGTCTGGTGTGTAGCTAAGACATTCTGACAGGACATCCAGTGACATGTCATGACATTAAGCATAAGAAGATATTATGATTACGATTATGATTAAACACGTCATACAGTAATCAACTTTCTATCTAGTTATCCTTGTACATAAACGACCTGCAGTAACTCATGAAAATGAGTGAGCATTTAACAGCCTGAGCTAGACATCCTATCTACACTAAACATTCCTAATACAACAAGTACCTAACCAATATCTATCTGACTAAAAATAGCTAACACTGGCAATGTGACAAAATGATGGTAACTACTCTGCCCCTAATTCAGGTTCATTGTTTGCTTTTTCAGACCCCCCCTCCTCACACATGCTGTGCTGGCTCACAGAAAGAGTAGGTCATCTTTCTATAGCAGGTTCAGCAACAGCTTGTGCTCATAGCAAGCCTCACCAGACAACTTCAGACCATATCGGACATACAGGATGGAGTTAAGGGTCTGCGAGGACATTCGATTTCTAAGTTTGCATTTTACCACACTCATCTGGCTGAATAATCTCTCTGCAAAAACACCTTTTAGGGCTGGGAATATCTTCTCAAGTGACCGTGCAGTTGTGTTATTGCTGACATGTCCAAACAGAACAACACAATTTAAAAGATAGAAACCATTCAGAGAACTGGCCAATTCTAGGGTAGAACTTTATTGATCACACAGTGGGGAAATTCCAGTGTTCCAGCAGAAGTAAGGGACAAAAACAACAGAGAGCAAGCCACAAAAGACACCATAAGAACAGATACCACAAACTGATTTTGATAGACAAATTCAGAAAGCACAGAAAGAAAAATAACACAAAAGAGGACAGAGCTACTGGAACTTGCTGTCACTCCATGCGGCGCGTCTTAAAGACAAATCAAGAATACCCCAGTTGTCAAAAGAATTTTCAAAGAAGCCACGAAGTCACTGGAATCTTTCAATAAGGGATTGGTTTACTTGCAGCAAGGAGACAAGTCAGCATGAGCATACAGAGTTGTCTGAATAAGCTAGTCTAAACATCACAATATATAGGACAAAGAGAACTCCCTAAAGACGCATTCCAGGTGTTAATCAAGTTGAAAAGAAGATTCAAACAGGAAAAGTGAACTTGAGAGGCTTTGCCGGGATACCCCCTCAGACGATAAACAATATGTTGTCCGTTCATCTTCACATTATATGGCAGGAAAGAGTTTATAGCTGGCTCCTTTAAGTCTGGAATGCCATCCTAGCTGAACATATAACACAACATAGAGTACTGAAAACAAAGATAAAACATGTCCTTCAGTTCACACATGCAGTGTCTCACAGGTCCCTGTGATCTGTAGTCTGTTCTGAAAGCTTAAAATCCATCGAATAACATATGTTGGTTAATATATTGATTAGAACACAGTTTAAAACATACTTAATAATGTAATTTTCATGA